GGCCACTCCCCCCAGTTTTGGATCATCAGCACACTTGCTGAGGGTGCACTCTGTGCTTTCATCCAGGTCACTGATGAATGCACTGAACAAGACTGGACCCAGGACTGACCCCTGGGCAACACTGCTAGCTACAGGCCTCCAGATAGACTCTGTGCCGCTGACCGCAACCCTCTGAGCTCGGCCATCTAGCCAGTTCTCAATCCACCTCACTGTCTACTCACCTAACCCACCCTTCCTGAGCTTACCTATTTATAACTATTTATAACTAAACTATTTATAACTACTTATGTGATGGGAGACAGTGTCAAAATCCTTGCTGAAGTCAAGGTCAACAACATCCACTGTTCTCCCCTCATCTACCCAGCCAGTCATTCCCTCACAGCAGGCTAGCAGATTGCTTAAGTATGATTTCCCTTTGGTGACCTGTGCTGGCTACACTATTAATACTAATACTATTAAAACTACTATTACTTTAATACTACTATTACTTTAATTAGTCCTCCTTTAAAAAAAACAAAAAACGTGGAAATGGAAGTGTTTAGACTGCAGAGGAAAATACTCAAAAGTGAGAAAATATTCACTGACAGGTTGCTCACAATCTATCAGGTAATTTTCTTAGTTCTATCCATTTTCCAACCTAAATAACTTCATTTTTTGCCTATGAATTCTTAATCTGCTCCCACTGCCTTTAATCATTGTAATACATCTTACAACAAGATATATTTTACATGAAATAGATTCCAGTTAGAAGACAGGGAAAGGGAGAGCTATACTCCCCCTGGTTAGAGATTTTCAACTGCTTTCATTCTTAAATGCTGTTTCCTCCTTTGACATAAGCATGCTCCATTTACACTCCTCTCCTACTTCTCTCAAGCATGCTTGTACACACCGTTTTTGCAGCTGCAATGTCAACACCTGCCCATGCAGCCAAGAACTGAGTTAATTTTCTCCCATAGTGCAGGTCATTACCAGAACAACAACAGCTTTGGGAAAACAAAACCTGATAAATTACTGGTGACCTTTTTCTCCTCTCACCAAACCTAAATACCTCCCAGGTCTGTCTGAAGGAGGCCCTCCCCCCATGATGTCCCTATTTGTTCTAACAATACCCTGCAAAGAGTCCACATATACACTGTGATCATCACGCACCTGGGTGGAGAAATTTGCTACATCTGCTTATGCATTAGGGATTGTCTTTAAAATCCTCTCGTTTCTTGGTCATTTATTTTGGGCTCTGACAACTGACTGATATTCTTCGTCAGAGGTATTTCTCAAAGGTGCATGCTAGAGGTCTATCGCGAGTTCAGTTGCCACAGAGAGTTCAGAAAAAGTGATGGATGCAGGTTCCCTGCTCAACTTAATGTTTAGATTCATGCTTCGCACTGACAGAAGGTAGAGAACTTGGAGGGAAGAGAAAATCTGAGATGAATTATCAGTCTTATGGTTCTTTTATTTTGCATTTTGATTTCTTTTATTGCCAGAATAAAACTAAAGTCCTTCGTTTGAAAAATATTTGACAGAGATTCCTGAATATACCTCTTTGTTGTTTTCTCCTTATACCTCACATAACTGAAGAGTGTTTGCTCTTTACTGATATATATCAAATACATTATTACTGGATAGCATTGAAATTTCAATTAGTAAGAGCAAGCATTACTGTCATGTAGATGATCATGTACTTTTCTTGGTTTCTCCTTTTGTTCACTGATATTTTTAAGCAAAGCTTACTACTTACCCAACGTTTTCTGCATCTTCATCACACTCAGCTCTGTATTTGCAAACTCCACATTTTGAGTGCTTCCTCTGACCTTCTGTCCCAGATCCTTCATACTCTAAACAGAACAAGGCGTTGTTAACAGAAAGCATGACTTTCATGTCAGGCTCTGTTTTTGCTTACCTAAACAAACTGCCTTGCTACTGGCAACTTGAAGTTATCCTATACTTACACGGAAGCTATTATATTCACTAGTGCTCTCTCTTTCAAAATGGGGCAATTAGAGCTTGGCAGAACAGTGACAATGACAAGAAGGCACCCCAAAAAGCAAGGTCGCATCACCAATTGACTGTTCCTTTATTGTTATTTTAGTGATTTTTATTTATTCCTGCCTCATCCCAGGCACAATTCGCATTGACATGCATCCCAGACATATTTAAATGTAATTGACACTGATAACATATAAACTCTGTCCCTTTTAATATCCTTGACCATTACATAGAGAGGATTTGAACGCTATTTTAGTTGATAGTCTTTTATAACAGACATACTTATGTAAGGTTACCTTTAACATTTTCTCTCTCTCTGTTTTTGGTGATTGAGTGCTCATTTCTCATACATGCTGTTGTATATTGTATGTTGAATATTTTCCAGATTGCTCTAATTAGTTGTACAGGACTAAAAAAGGCCTAGAGAGCCATCTTAAAAAGCAAATTAATAGAAATACTATGTCCTCCAAAAGGTAGAATGAATATCTCAGATATGCTGGTCCTAAAAACATCTGCATCATTCCTATTTTTGACTTCAAATTTGAAGACCAAAACTCTTCATTGTGTAAAAGAGAAATATAAACTCAATGAAGTTTAACGTAGGACAACTAAACATTGAAAAATGAATGCTGAACAGCTGGGAAATATACAGTGGAACATGGCAGTACTCTGATAACAACATTAGTTCCCTCCAGTCAGGCTCACATATTACTCAAGAATATCAAGCAAATCAAGAAAAAAGTTTTTTCCTTATTTTTTTCCCCAGATTCACAATAAAAGTAATGTATCTATAAACAAAGTTGTTAATACTTTTCAGAGCCACAGGTATCACATTATTAGTAGGATGTAAGGTACTTACAGTGAATTATGACATTAAACATAACTTATTGCATGGCTTTAGGTTGCTATACATCACTTCATCCCTGACTTAAGCTTTTTCTCACTGGGAATTAAAATCACAGTAGCAAAGCCTTATACAAAAATATGCTTCAAACAGTAAAGCTCATATTTCTTCTAAGTAAACTTCATAGTTTATGTTTAATTTTCATAGGATTGGTAATGGCTGGTAAAACGCCCTTGAATTGAAAAAACAAACAAACAAACAAACAAACTTTAAAACCAAACATTTCATAATGTTAAATAGGAAGCATTAGAGTGAAAAATTATATGCGGCTATGATTTACACCACAGACAAGGCTCAATAAACAAGATAATATTTTTAGGGGGTATAAATCAGATTAAATGATTTAAGATTTAGTTTCACTAGAACTGGTCTTTCATGTTTTTCATTTTAACAAAGCAATAATGGTGGTAAAGACATTTGAAAAGAAGGAAAAGACTCACAGAAATTTGCAATGGGAGTCAGAACAGTTCAACATACTACAGTTACTACACAAAGTGTGTTACGGTATCATTTTAGTGTAAAGCTGTCTACCAAAGGCTGTCAAATGCACACAACACTAAATAAAATAAAGCAGTTCTATGTGCTATAGCAACAGGAGGTCAAACACCATCAAGCAAAAAGAGTTGGTGTGTACCTTAAATGCAAGTTGGAAGAAAGGAGTCCACATTCCTTCCTAATATTCCCATACCTTGGCTGAAGGGAATCTTTCCCTCCTACCTGTGGCTAGGCTTACGTGGAGAATAATGCAGATGATCCTTTCCCAAATTAACTTCTATTTGAAACATGGCATGCTTTTTTTTTTTTAAAGATTAACACATATCCAAACTTCATTATGAAATTTCCACTGCAGAAATTCCTTCACTACGTTTATTAAGGTGCAGTAGTGGTCACTTTTGCTTATCTATAGAAATGCATATATTCTTTCTGGTTTGATTATTTTCTTCATTCTAGATATCACATACTTATGCCTGTGCTTGCCATGTGTCCTTTAACATCAGATTTCACTTTTCCATGCCAATATTTACATGCCAGTAAGTGACCCCTTAAGATATGATAAAGGAAAACAAATGGCACTGCTATTTTCTTTATCAACGGTATTTCCATATCTCTAACTCTTCTCATGAACAGTTCTTCTAATCCCTTCCCCAATATATTAAGATTCTCCTGGAGTTATGGATACAGGAGCTGGACATGCCATTCCATAAGTGGTCTCTTATCAAGACCAAAAATAGTCTATGATATTCTTCAGTTTAAACTTCTAATAATCTTATTAATTTTGACCATTCTTCTGCCTTGAAAGCTCACATGCGCTTTATTATCCATCTTATTTCCCAACAAAGTCTTTTCAGAATCGTCAATCTGTAAGACAGACGCTGACATCCAGGAGGAACAGTCTACATTTTGGGATCTCTACATGTAACTATACATTTGGATATTAAAATTCTGATTAATTGTGTATATCATTAGCTCAGTGATCTGTCCTCTAGCTTCCAGGCTTGATCAGTACTGATTTTCTCCCAGTTCAACAATGAAAGGGGGCAGGAGGCCAAGAACATTTCTTAGAAACACACTCATTTTGTAATGGTTCTTTTACATTTCATGACCCATTGTTTGGCCAATGTTCTGTTGTACAAATTTCTTTCTTGAAAAAATAACAAAAAAAAATCTTCTCAATACAGATTTTCCCTGAACCCATGATGAATGGCACTAAATAATTTCCTTTCCCCCCCCCCCGCTTTAGTTCTGTATTCAGTTGATTCTACCGTCTTCTATTCTGTTGTTTTGCTTCTGATAGATACTGAGGTTGAAAGGCTATAGCTCCTTAACCCACTACATTTATCTTTTTTCAAAATATTTGTACATGTCTTCTCAGTGTTCCAAGATTTATATTGAAGGAAAAAAAAAGTCAACATTAGGACTACAAAGAATTTGTTGATATCCATTTTTAAAGCTTTCAGGTGCGAACTATCCAGATCTGGTGATTACAAAACAGCTGACTTCAACATTTGGTGCTTAATATCCTTCTGAGGTACCACTAGAATGGAAATTATTTTATCATATCCTATATATATTATCTGACTTGACTCCAGATACAACCAGATTGCTTTATAGAGCACTTGTCTTGCTCTACTAGCAATTTGATTTTGTAGCAGAGCTAAGGAACCCTTTTCTTCTTTAAATCTCTCTCCTTCTCAATGCTCCTATACACATAAAAACCCTTTGTCGTTGGCTTTAGCTCCACTCACTAACTATCTTTGATATCTTTTTGCTCTCAAAAACAGTAGCCTCCGAGTACTCAGTGTTCTTTTTTTTCCCTCTTAAAATTGCTTTCTCTATCTTTTAAAATTAGATTTGTTTGTTTTTTTAAGAAAGTGTGGCCTCTTTTCTTGATCATGAATTGCTAGGCCCTGTGTATATATAATTATTTACCTGCACTTTATTCTGTTTGCATTTAATAAATATGAACATAAATAAATATGAGGTGCAAGATCACCTGCACCTCAGGCACTACTAATATACACCTATCAGGATGAAGTGTAATACAGATGTATGTGTATTGGTGCAACATTTCCAAGTTGTACAATAGTCATCTATAATTTGTAGAAGATTCTTTCATTACTAGCTGCATGATGTTTTAGCACTAGCAGCATGAGAGAGCATATTATTTAGACTAGAGTCCTCCAAGAAAATGCATCTTTTTCCACCAATACAGAATTGATAGATATTCCTTTTCAGCCTGAATTGGTAGCAGGCTTTCTCAGTACCCCATGTATGTGCTGTTGGAATAAGTTAACCCATTAACATTTAAGATCATTAGTTTCTCTTTTGCAAACATCTCTGAATAGGTAATGCATCTATTGACAGAATGCCCCTCCCACCTCCTTTTTCCCCCCCATTTGATTGTCCATAAATAGGTTATACCCATTAATTTTAATATTCCAGTCAATCAACTCATCCCAGCAGGTTTCACTAATACTAGTTAGGTCAAAATATGTTCCTAAATGAGGAATTCAAGTTCTCCTTGTTTATTAAGCAGGTTTCTAATGTTGACGCATAGAAGATTACAGAGTTTCTTTTCATGTGTTCTTGACATTCTTGACATTTCCTCCGTTCTTGAGCAGTGAATGTTGTCTGCCTGGACTTCAGCAAGGATTTTGACGCTGCCTCCCATCACATCCTCGTAGGTAAGCGCAGGAAGGGTGGGTTAGGTGAGTAGACAGTGAGGTGGATTGAGAACTGGCTAGATGGCCGAGCTCAGAGGGTTGTGGTCAGCGGCACAGAGTCTATCTGGAGGCCTGTAGCTAGCAGTGTTGCCCAGGGGTCAGTCCTGGGTCCAGTCTTGTTCAGTGCATTCATCAGTGACCTGGATGAAAGCACAGAGTGCACCCTCAGCAAGTGTGCTGATGATCCAAAACTGGGGGGAGTGGCCGACACACCACAAGGCTGTGCTGCCATTCAGAGGGACCAGGACAGGCTGGAGAGCTGGGCGGAGAGGAACCTCCTGCAGTTCAACAAAGGCAAGTACAAGGTCCTGCACCTCGGGAGGAAGAACCCCATGCAGCAGTACAGGCTGGGGGCTGACCTGCTGGAAAGCAGCTCTGCCGAGAAGGTCCTGGGAGCGCTGGTGGACAACAAGTTAAGCATGAGGCAGCACTGTGCCCTTGTGGCCAGGAGGGCCAATGGTATGCTGGGGTGCATTAGGCAGAGCGCTGCCAGCAGGTGGAGGGAGGTGATCCTGCCCCTCTCCTCAGCCCTGGGGAGGCTTCACCTGGAGTGCTGTGCCCAATTCTGGGCTCCCCAGTACAAGAGAGGCATGGCCCTACTGGAGAGAGTCCAGCGGAGGGCTCTGAAGATGATGAGGGGACTGGAGCATCTCTCCTATGAAGAAAGGCTCTGAGAGAGAGCTGGGCCTGTTTAGCCTGGAGAAGAGAAGTCCAAGAGGAG